GTTAAGGGCCTTGCTCATGGGCCCAGGGTGGGGCGAATTTAAGGTGGGGGCAGGTGTGGTTGCTTCACCTACCCCACCCACATCTTAGATATTGTCAGTACCGGGGCTTGTACCGGCGATTTTCTGATCACAGGCCCACCTTCTCGAAACTCTGCGCCACCCCACTCCCCAATTGCTTTGAGTATCTTGATAAGATAGAAAGGCGCTATATAAGTACAATCCATTTACCATTTAGGGGTGCACAGGGGATAACACCAGGCCATGGAGGTGGTTAAATAGGTTATTTCACCAAAGCACGCACAGGCACCACCTTGTGCCAGTTCTTTTGGATTAAGCAAAGAGACATCACAAAGCATTACCTCAGTGGACCATCTCTGCAAAGCGTTGTCCTGGCAGTGTTTAAAATGTTTGGGCAGCAGACTGGATTTGTGGTTAGCATTGCTGTCTCTCAGCAATAAGGTCCTGGGTACAATCCTGGTTTGGACCTGGGGTCTTTCTGTATGGAGTTTACATGTTCTCCTCATGTTTGTGTGGGTTTTTATCTAGGTACTCTGGTTTCCTCCCCAAAACAAAAAAACTTGCATATTAGGCTGCCTTCTGGCCATGGCATCCCTGAAAAAGAGATCTGTGATCTCAGTTGGATTTGCCTGATTAAATAACGGTTAATAAATAATAAAGAATCACAACTTGAGTTGGAATCCAAGAAGAGATACTGACTGACCTTGACATTTCATTCATGTTGCTCACACTCAAAAACTTAACATATTGTTGAATGTCAAATCTATTAAAACCACCACCCACAGACAGACAGCTGATGGAGCAGCTCAACAAGACTTTGAAGATCATCATTTGTTAGTTCAATCTTGAAGATGGAAAGTATTAGTCTTAAATCAGAGCGCAAAACTGATTTCACTTGGACACAAGATAATTTGCACCAGGCTCAAGAATGTCAAAAAATACACCTGTACTACAACCAGGTGGAACTGAGATCAGCTTTACTGGGAGACAAGGAGCTTGTACTGCTTCCATCCATCCTGCCATTATCTTTATCTGCTTCTCCCTTTTTGGGTCGTGGGGGTCACTGGTGCCCATGTCCAGCCATCACTGTGAGAGAGGCAGGGTACACCCTGGACAGGTCTCCAGTCCATCACAGGAACACCTTGGACAGGTATCCAGTCCATTAAAGGGACACATAAACACAAACAAAACAACCATTCACTCTCAACTTTGGACAAATTAGAGTTACCAATCAGCCTAAAATGCATATTTTTGGTCTGTGGGAGGAAACCGGAGTACCCGAAGAAAACACATGCCTGCACGGACAGAACTGCAAACCCTACCCAGAGGGGTCCCCGGCCGGGATTTGAACTGGGGAGAGCTGCTCGCTGAGAGACGGCAGATCTACCAACTCCGCCACTGTGCTGCCACTTGTGCTGATTCTTTTTTTCTAATTTTAAGTTACTCACCAAGGGGCAAGGGTCCTTTCTGATTATGTGGCGAGTATGGGGATGTTAATTAGAAGGGTGTGCTTTTTGACCGGTGCGGGGAAAACAATTCAGCCTTCTTAAAACATGGAAAGAGTCTGGCCAAAACGTCTTAATTCTTGGCTGCAGGTTTCAAGAGCACGCAAAAAAACTGAACTCCATGAGCCTTGGTGTTTCAGTAGGATCTTGGGATGGACCTTAGGGATTTGTTCATCAACAGTTTTATTCAAGAGACACCATGGTGAAAAGTTTCTCTGGGTTTTTTTTATCCAGTGTTCTTTGAACTTTTGACTGAAACCAGATCTTGAAAAACCAGAAGTTTGAGTTCAACTGTAATTACAGTTTAAATGAAATGTTTACATACACTGTATGAAAAGAGACAATGCTTTTATCTTACTGTCTGACATGGAGTCATGCTAAACCTTCCTGTTTGGGTTAGTTAGGAAACACTGAATTAATTATATTTGCTAAATGTCTGAAAAATGAAAGAGATAATTTTTTAGATAATATTTTCTACTAAATAATACATTTTCAATCATGTTCTCGATGTTTAGTAGAGTTGTATTTAAACTGTGGTCAAATGTTCTGGGTTATCTTCAACACGTTTCTCACAACAGTTTGCAGGACTACTGTCCTGAACCTCCCAGAACCAGTGGACCCGAGTCAGATTTGTAGGCCTTCTTGTCTTTTCAGTTCTGCCACAGATTTCCTCTGGGACTGAGATCAGGACTTTATGATGGTAGCTCCAAAGCATGTACCATAATTGCTGGTCTATAGAGTGCACCAGAATGTACTGTAAGCCACACACACTAAATAAAAGAATATTAATAATAAATTTGTACATATAAAAGCCATGCTTGTGTATAAACCGTGGGTGTTCATGTTGTAACATGAGGCAGCACACAGCTACTGAGAGATGTGCAGCTCTTGTTTTCATCAAGAATGAACCACCAGATGGCATTTTATAACTTTATTTTTCTTTTCAACATAAACATACAGAGTGAACATCACAGCTCTTCATGACAACTACCTCCCACCCTCGTGATTACTCTACTGAATGGTCTAACACAAACTTAGCACATAATGAACACATAAACTAGGCTAACAAGACCAGACTAATCACTAAAAGAACAATGCTAAACAGCTAAAAGAAATGATTAACAATGAACATAAATTTTACCCATAATCCCTCCCTGAGGCCATGTGACCAGCAGTCAACCACAATGAATCAATTAGGTAATCTCATTGATTCACGAGGACCCGCCCCCAAGAGAGACAGTATTGATGAGACTACCTATATCAGTAAAGGTTAAAAAAATCTGACCAATGAAATTACTGAACAGGTCACAGTCGAACCATGAAACTGGGAGTGGAGGAGAGAATAGGGAGCAGGGAATCCCCTCCTCCTCCACTCTGTTTGTGTGTGTTAAACAGTGAAATAAAGTCATGAGGACCCACCCCCCAAAAGAGACATATATTAGGCAGCTATGTGAGTGCCCAGGTTTGACAAAACTAAATGTTTTTGGTGGAAAGGAAGCTTGCTAACTTGAGAGACACGTAGCTAATGACAAGCAGGTTGGAGGATTGAAAATAATTCATTATTGTTGATTTATTTTATTTTACAGATCAGTTAAGATAAACTTACCATGCTCTGTTCAGCAAAATATGCTATGTATCCTGATGCATGCTCAATAATCAAGATAGATAAATCTTTAAGTCAGGTCCTCTGGAGGATTCTTCTTGTTGAAACATTTTGTATTTTATCCAAAAGACCTCTTCAGTCTGAGGAGCTGCAACAAACTCAGTCTTATAAATAGCTCCTTCTCATTCATGGTGGATCAACCATTTTGCAGGTGACAGCTAAAACTAGTTGATCACATGATTAATGACCATCAGCCTAACTGCCCTCTGTGAATAGCAAGCAGCCATCAGGGCACTAACGGTTGATTGTTAGGCTGATAGTCCTCCTTTATCATGTGAACAACTAGTTTTGGTTGTCACCAGCAAAATGGTTGATCCACCATAGCTATGTTTACATGTGCTAAATTCTTTGACCGGATGGAAATGTTTTCAGATTAAATAATTCAGATGTATTGTTTACATGGGCACAACTTGTTCATGACGAGTGTTTACATGCAGCGCTCTTTTATTCTGAACAGAAGTACTGACATGCGCAGAGTGGTAAACTCTCCTTAAAAAAACCACAGAAGAAGAAGTTCTACTTCTGGTTTACTTTCGGGATGAACGTAAACAAACCTGAGCACCCAAAATGGACCCGCGACAGGTTTTAATGACAGTGGAGACGTTACTGCACTCCCTGACTGAGCTACAGTAATACAGATCATTTTGAGCTCTTTCAAAGTTTCTAGTAGAAATGTTGTCGCTCACCGACCAGATTTACTTCTCCGACATGCTAATATTATTAGCATTAGCCAGACCGAAATACGTGAGGTCGCACATCCGCAGTCAGGTCAGTTTTCCACAGTCAGAAAAAAAATAAACAGATTAAGTATTTACACGCACACCTTTCGGATTATGAATCGCATAAACCACCTGTCTCATTCTGATTACAAATTCTTTCGGATCGAGCTGAATAAACACAAAATAATCCGAATAGGGCGTTTACACAATGCATTTTTATTCTGAATGGCCGTTTAATCAGATTACTTATGTCCATGCAAACATAGGTTATGAGTTGGTGCTATTTATAAGACTGAGTTTGTTGCAGCTCCTCAGACTGATGAAGTATTTTGGATAAAAGACAAAACGTTTCAACAAGAAGAATCTGTTCAGAGGACCTGACTTAACCTTGTTAGAACTCCAAAGTATTGCTCGCAAGTCAACTGCCATGACTTGAAAGTAGTCTGCATGCACTCTCTGCTGGAAACATTGTACAATTATGCTTTTTGCAAGCTTGTTCCCAGTGTTTACACAATGGACAATATCCTGATGCATGCTCAATAATCCAGGTAGAAAAATCTAAAAAAAAGTTAAGTCAGGTCCTCTGGACGTTCAAAAACGTTTTATGAACGTCCAGAGGACCTGACTTAACTTTTTTAGATATTGGGACAGTTATCACTTATACCGATATGCCTCCAAATGCCTAAATCGGCCTAAAATATCGGCCCTACCATTATATCAGTTGGGCTCTAGTTCGTTCCTCCAGGCGTGAACGCAAGGTGCACAACTAACTCTCTCAATCAGATCCTGGATTTGGAGCATACCAACTTATGTAATGTAAACTGGTTCATCTTATTGAAAATGTTGTGGAGCCTTGCGGTGTCCCCTGCCTCTCGCACAGTGACTGCTGGATGTGGGCACCAGTGACCCCCCGCGACCCAAAAAGGAAGAAGCCAGTGCCAGTAAAGATAATGGTTGGATGTTTGTGGAGCAACAGGACCACAAAGCAAAGGGCTTGTCTATACAACTGTAATAAATGGTTCCATGCATTTTTTAACCTCATCCAAAATTTGAGGTTTTTATAATTCACAGGTGTTCTAAGAAAGAAAACCCAGTCTACTGTAGTCTGATTTAATGAGAAACAGTGAGAAATAAATTAACATGCGTTTTTATCCATTGTATGTAAACATTTGGTTTTATCTTTGATTCTCTGTGAGTGTGCATGTGTGAGCACAACCTGGGGTCCCTTATGTTGTCATCCATGGTGTCCTTAGTCCCTTCAGCATCATGCGTTTGAGTTTGTTCAAGGTAGTGGACTGCAAGGCAACAGAATGGGTTAGCATCTTGTTTTGATAGTTGAACCATTCAGCTCTGTTCACATTCCAGTAGATCTAACTCTAACCAACCCACAGGTGATGTCACGCAGTCACCTGTCACTCTGATATGAGCACAGAACTGAACAGTACAATATATGAGTTGTACAGATGATATGTTTTCAACAGCCTGACACAGATAATATCAAAAGACCAAATGGATAATTCAGTAGAGATCTAGTGATGTGCTTACTTCCCCCAGGGTGGTATAGCTCTGGGCCTCCCATTCCTTCTCTGGCTTTAGGAGCATTAACGTCTTCTTCTGTAAAGCTTCCTTGGCTGCAAACATCAAAACATGTTGACATGTTTGTTTTTATCTTAATTTAAGCAAAGTTCTCAGTCATAGAAATGAGACATGGTGCTATTTCATGACAATCTGATATTATTTTACAGCATGGCTGTTACTGTTACTGTCTTTAACACAAAGGGATCACTTCATGTTGTCAGTATTTCTTGTGTAAATGACTTAATAATGGTCAAAAGAAGAGGAGGTTTGTTTTTACAGCCTGACAACAGCAAAGGTGCATCGTGCCAGCTGTTCATTTCTTCATGGAATGTCATTTGTAATGTGACCTGAGGTTACTGTCAGGGAATGTTTGTTTAAAGGTTATAGATGTTTTTATTATTATGGCTGAGAACTTTCTTCCCATTGCCCTGAGAACAAGTCCAAAACATGCTGAAACTGGCTCCCAAGACCCCTTTATCTCTGATATGTTTGTGTAAATGGAGCGTGCTGAGTAAGAAGGTTGCGGCTGGCTTCAAGGACACCTCCTGAACTCAGCTGAGCTGAGAGGAGTATAAAAGTGAGCAGATAACGTGGCTTGTGGCTTTTTTTTTTTGATTGGTTTACTTGTGTATACTGTATGTATGTGTAAATACACATGTATGTTATGCAGATAAATATAATTGCTTTTGGCTCCTTTCCAGCCAGGAGACTTATTTTATGCAGATTGAATGATCCACATCCCACAACACATTGAACACTGGAAAAGAGAGGTCATGTGTCATATTCATTTGGGAAATATTACATACACTGTAAGGGGATTTGCTGAGAGATTTTGGGACACTTGGCAGCCATATCTTATACTGAAGTATGTTAGTAGATATTATTGTCTACTTGTCATAAACGCCTGTTTGTGTGTTCGTGTCTGTGTGGCTGATCCGGAGTGGGATGGGATTTTGTTATGCGTGTGTGTGTTCTTTGTTTGTTTGATTTAAGTTTGGAGGCAGTACGGTGGCACAACTGGTAGAGATGCCGCCTCTCAGCGAGCAGGTCGCCCTGGGTCCAATCCTGGTCTGGGGGCCTTTCTGGGTGTAGATAGCTATGACTAGCCATACTTGACAAAAGAAGGACATACAGACCCGTGCACAAGACCGTATGACACGCGCGCGCGACCGTATGACGCGTCGCAAATACAAAATGTTCTAATCAGTTAATAACTTTTTTAGGTCAAGGTCATGGTTTCTTTATTGTCATTCACATCACATGTGGTACATCAGGTGGAACAAAATTATGTACACAGGGTCCCAGTTACATCCAACAAAAATACAAATTGTAAAGAAAAACAGTAATAAGATCTAAAATATGACCTAAGAAATATGCTAAACTAAGAATACACTAAACACTACTAGTACAAAACAATGTACCAAACAAGAGCAGCACAAACTGTGTGAGCATATGAGGACAAATGAACACAGCAACATGAAGTAAATCAGCAGCATGAGATCAGCATCAAGGATAATTATTTTAATCTTTAGTGTAATAAAATCAATAAGAAAATCTTGTCTTTGACTTCAAATTCTCCCAAGGCAGATTGGTCCTAGGTGACAGGTCAGACAAAGAGCGATTCAGAAGATTTTATTGACATGACACAGCAAGGAACTCAGTGTCCCTTGCCTGGACATGGGTTACCAGTGCCCCACCCTGGAGCCAGGCCTGGGGGAGGGGCTTGTTGGTGAGCGCCTGGTGACTGGGTCTCTACCCATGGGGAAGGAGCCTGAGCTTGTGTGCGAGGTTGAGAGGTACCGACTAGATATAGTTGGGCTCACTTTAACGCACAGCATGGGGTCTGGAACTGATCTCCTTGAGAGGGGCTGGACCTTCTTCCACCCATGGTGAGAGGTGTCAAGCTGCTGTGGGTCTACTTGTAGACCCCCAACTTGGTGCCTGTGTGTTGGAGTTTTCCCTGGTAGATGAGAAGGTGACTTCCCTTCGCCTTCGGGTGGGGGGACGGGCTCCGACTGTTGTTTGTACCTATGTGTCAAACGGCAGTTCAGAGTATCTGCCCTTCTTCTAATCTTTGGCAGAGGTGCTGGAACATGCACAATTTGGGGACTCCTTTATTTGGCTGGGGGACTTCAATGCCCACTTGGGTAATGACAGTGTGACCTGGAAGGGTGTGACTGGGAGGAACGGCCTTTCTGATCTGAACCCGAGCGGTGTTCTGTTGTTGGACTTCTATGCTAGCCATAGTTTGTCCCTCACAAACACTATGTTCGAACATAAGGGTGTCCATAAGTGCACTTGGCACCAGGACACCTTAGGTCATAGATTGATGATAGACTTCATAGTTGTATAATCTGATTTGCGGCCGTTTGCTTTGGATACTCGGGTAAAGAGCGGAGTTGAGCTGTCAACTGATCACCACCTGGTAGTGAGTTGGATCATATGGCGGGGGAAGATGCCAGACAGACCCAGTAGACCCAAATGTGTAGTGAGGGTTTGTTGCGAACGCCTGGCAGAAGAACCCATCAAAGAGATCTTCAACTCACACCTCTGGGAGAGCTTTAACTGCATCCCAGCTGAGGTGGGGGACATTGAGTCTGAGTGGGCCATGTTCCGCACCTTGCTTGTTGAGGTAGCTGCCTTGAGCTGTGGCCACAAGGTTGTCTGTGTTTCTTGCATGGCCATCCATGAAGTCGGTGGTAGACACCCCCGGTTAAGGAGGCTGCCAAGCTGAAGAAGGAGTCCTATTGGGTCTTGTTGGCCAGTGGGACTCTCTAGGCAGTTGAGGAGTACCGGAGGGCCAAGTGGTTTGCAGCTTTGGCTCTTTCTGAGGCAAAAGCTCGGATGTGGGAGGAGTTCGGTCAGACCTTGGATAGAGACTCTCAGTCGGCTCCGAGGAGATTCTGGCAAACCATCAGACAGCTGAGGAGGGGAAAGCAGCACTTTACTAACACTGTGTTCAGTGAAGGTGGGCTGCTGTTGACCTCAAACAATGATGTCGTCAGGAGGTGGAAGGAATACTTCTCAGACCTTCTCAATTCCACCAGCACATGAATCAGCCTCCCCACCATCACAGACATCTACACCTCCAGATGCAGGAAGAGGGCCACCTGCATCATGAAGGACCCCACTCACCCAGCACACACACTTTTTGCCCCACTCTCCTCAGGAAGGAGGTTAAGGAGCATTAAGTGTAGAACCATTAGACTGAGGAACAGCTTCTACCCTGAGGCTGTTAGACTCATGAATCTCTAACTAGAATAATCACTGTGAAAAACCATATCATGTTGCTGCTGATCTGTTTCATGTTGCTGCTGATCTGTTTCAATGTTGATGTGTTCATGCGTGCACATCTGCTCACAGACTCATGTTCATGTTTGTGCTGATGTTCAATGTTTTATGTTATGAGTGCTTAGTGTATATTTAGTTGATGTTTTTCTTAGTTCATATCTTAGGTGTTATTACTGTTTTTCCAAAAAAGTTCAATCTGGTCCTCTGGACATTCAAAAAAACAAAAAACAAAACAAAGCAAAAAAATCTAGAAACGTTTTGTCTCTAATCCAAGAGACTTCCTCAGTCTGAGGTGCTGTTTTCAGCTCAGTCTCTTAAATAGCACCTTCACAGAGTGGATCAACCAGTTTGCTGCTGACAACCAAAACCAGCTGATCAGAGGACCAGATTGAACTTTTTTGGATTTTTCTACCTGGATTATTGAGCATGCATCAGGATATTTTGAATCACTTTGGCCAGGATTGCCTCAAACTAGTAAGAGAGTTTGAGAAAACAGCAAGGAAGAGGGCAGACTACAGGAACCACTTGCGATTCAACCTCAGATGTCGACAAAGTGGCATCATTCCCAAGAGCCTGGAACTAAAATCATCAGTCAGCGGGGACCGGGCAAGCAAGATCCTTCAGAAGGCACAAACCCAGCTGCTGAATGAACGGGTGAGACAGACCAATTTTACTATTGAGGCCTTGAAGGCCAAAGAAGAGCACATTAAACAGAAACTAACTATGTGTCTAGATCAGACCACACTTCAGCAAGTGTTGGACTGTACAGATCAGGCACGCTTAGCACAGCATGTCAAATCCAAGACTCGACAACAAAATAAGTTTAACTTACTAATAACTCATCAACACCATGACTATTCCAATAACAACACATTCAGTGTAGGACAACACTCCAGTAGTCAATTACATGCCAGGGAGACAGAAAAGTGGGTGAAGAATTTATCTGACAGACAGCTCACCCAGCCTGAGACAGAGATTCTTGCCAGGGGACTGAACTTTGCGGTTGCACCAAGGACAATTCCTCTGGTGGAGATGATCACAGCAACAGAATCAGCCATCCGCAACAACAAAATGAAAGAGGGTGAAGCAGAACAGCTCAGAATCAAAGTTTCATCCTGCCTCAGCAATGCCAAACCACCACCTTCCAACATCAGTAGAGAGGAGAGGGACGCACTCACCACTCTTAGCAAGGACAAAAACATCATCATTCTCCCAGCAGACAAAGGAAGGTGCACAGTGATTTTGAACCAGAAAGACTATCATGAGAAAGTTATGACACTCC